CTTTGTTTAAAAAAAAAAAAAAAGAGGGAAATGGTGCGGGAGAATTATCTGTATTCTGTCAATCATGTATTTTAATAAAATGCTGATTGGCCAGGCAGGAAGTATAGGCGGGTCAACCAGACAGGAAGTAGAGGCGGGGCAATGAGAATAGGATAAGGCTAGGGAGGAGGAAACTTCCTCAGTCATTCCTGCGCAGATCACCAAGGAGGCAGCATGTAACCTGCCCTGCTGAGAAAGGTATGGAGCCATGTGCTAATGTAGATAAGGATAATGGGGTAACATAAGTTATAAGAGCTAATAAGTAGCCTGACCTAATGGGCCAATCAGTTTATAATCTTATGGAGTCCTGTGTGTGATTTTCCTTGGGGTATGCCGGCTCTGGGGTACCGGGTGAAACAGATACCCCAACACGCCAGTCCCTCATGTTACAAATTTGTAGCAGAGCTGGGGTTTAGATGCTGGTCTAGGTAAGACCCACAGTCCAAGTTTGTGCTCAAACCACCGTGGACATTTCCTTCCTGGGCGAAAGTCTGCACGATACAATTGCCTCCTCCACCATGTGTGATGGACTACGTGTGCTGGGTGTCTACACTGTACTTACTACCCATGCGTCTATGCCGGCATATCCTTATGTTACCGTGTGCCTTAATTTCCCCACGGTCATTCCTACAGGGCCTCTCACACAGGCACAGGTTCCAGGGCCATATCCAAGTTAAGACAACGAGAGAGTCAGGGCCTGCCCCATATCTACCCACTTCCCCCGTCCCTCTCTGGTCTTTAAACCACAGCTCTTTCCTCTATAACATCTAATTATATAGTTGGCCTGCACATATAAAATTAATAAAGCTGAAAATTGTAAGTATTTCTTGATCATCTACCAGGTGAAAATTATAAGTATTTCTTGGTCATTTACCAGGTGTGAGAAGCTAGCTGGGGCTGGGGGTAGGGGTTGCAGAAATTGAGTCCCGTCTAACAGTATTTGCAGTTGGTGGGAGACTAGCCAGCTCGGGGGATGTTACCTCCAATAGGGGAGGCCAGTCCCCGATGGAGGGGGACGACATCATCTCTGACACTGTGTAGAGCTGCAGGCTCATGGGGATGATATGGGTCAGGCTAAGTCTGGCCTTGCTTGTAATTATTTAGTTCTCTACATACAAGGCACCCTCTTATCTCCCCTGGGTGATTTTCTGCTCTCGTGGCCTAAGGACATCCCTCCTCTCTTTCTGAAGTTTAGCAAGTGTCACTCTCAAACCAATCTTCTGTGTACCTGCCAGACTGCCTGTTACCACCACATCCATTTTAATATATAAAGTAGGTAATACAACCCAGGGTGGCCCCTGTACCTAGGCTTGAATTGTTGGTGCTGGACTTGGAGTGTGGAGTTTGAAAAGAATGTCCGGTTAAGGGCCTGAAAGATGCCTCAGGGGTTAAGAGCACTGGCTGCCCTTCTAGAGGACAGGACCTGGATTCCATTCCCAGCACCCACATGGTGGCTCACAACCGTCTGTAACTCCAGTTCCAGGAAGTCTGACACTCTCTTCCAGTCTCTGTGGGCACCAGGCACAGGAGAGCTACCCAGACATACAAGATGAAATACTCACATGCCCACACATATGAAAGTAAATCATCTTTCCTGTTTGTTTGTTTATCAAGAGAAGGTTTCTCCGTGTAGCTCTGACTGTCTTGGAACTCACTCTGTAGACCAGACTAGCCTTGTTCTCATGGAGATTTACCTGCCTCTGCCTCCAGAGTGCTGGAATTAAAGGCATGAGCCACTACCATTGACTTTTTTTTTTAAAGAAAAGACTGTGGAGCTATTTTCACCTTGCTAACTTACCCAGTGAACATCTAGCACTTTCTCCAACGATGCTGTCCCTCTCATGTCCTAAAGAGCCCCTGTAGCCTTCTCTTCGATGATGTGTCACACCTGACACACACACTAGATCCACAGGCAAGGAGCAACTGACTCTCCCTGCCATGCCCTCCCCACTTTCAAGGGGGTCCTAGGGGGTTCTAGCCTACCTGAGCTGAAACTCTTCGCTGGTTTTGCTTTTTCAAAGATAAACTATATCATACATACATAAGAGTGTTCAAAACATGTGTGTGCATTAACTGTCACAGACACACACACACACCATCACCGACACCTTAGAGTGGCCATCATGACAAGCATGTAAAGGGGTCAGCCAGTACCTCATTCTGCCTCAAGCCACACCTCCTGGTTTCTCATTAGCTTCAGTGTGTTTCCTGGGCCTCAAGCTGTATGAGTTTGTCTTCTTGTCCCTGGTGTCTCCTGTCATCTTTCTGTCAGGTGACTTATCACATCTTAAAGGGGCACAGGAGCACTTTACATATTCTGAACTTAAATTCCTTTATAGTTATAGTTTGCGCTCTCTCTCTCTCCCTTCCTTCCACCCCTACCCCTCTCTCCTCACTTTAAAGTCCAAGCTGATTTGAACTCATAACCTTCCTCCCTGAGGCTTCTGAGCCCTGGATTCAAGGTGAGCATCATCATTCTTCCCAGGGAGTCTTTTTAATGCAGCTGTGTTCATCATTCTTATCCTTTATGACTTGGATTTTCTGTATCTTCAGATATCTTTTTTTTTTTAAGTCAGATATGGTGGCTCACACCTGTGATGTCAATCCTTGGGAGGCAGAGATGGGAAAATCATGAGTCTACATAGAGAGTTACACCAACCAGGGCAACATAGCAAGACACTGTACCAAAGACCAAAACAGCCGAAAAAAAGAAAATATAAATAAATCTTTCTCTAAAGTTGTTGACAGAGACTGCTCATTCATTTCCTGGCCACCCAGACCCAAAATAATCACACTGAAACTATATTAATTAAAACATTGCTTAGCCTATTAGCTTAGGCTTCTTATTAACTAACTCTTACATCTTAAATTAACCCATTCCTATTATTTTATATTTTACCATGAGGCTCATGGTAAGGTTTCAGAGCATCTGTCTCCTTCAGCAGCTACATAGTGTTTCCCTGACTCTGCCTTCTTTTTCTCCTCTATCTCTGATTGGAATTCCCACCTTGCCCTATTCCGTGCTGTCATAGGCCCATATTCATTATTGACAAATGATAACAAAACATATTTACAGCATATAGAGGGGAATTTCACATCATAAAATCTAAGAGATTTTTCTGTATTTTAACAGTTTTTCCCCTTTTAAGGCTTAATCCTTCTGAAGTTGACATTTGTAGATGCTGCGAGATAGAATCCTATTTTATTTTCCCAGCACCATTTAGTAGCCGACCGGTTCCTTTCCTACTGTTCTGTGCTGTGCAGCAATTCTACAGGTGAGGGGAATCTTTTTGTTCTCCCAGTCTAGAGTCTTCTCTGCCCCAGGAACTCACTCATCCGTGAAATGCCCACAACAGGAATTCTTCCACGGGGCTTAGCTTTAGGAGTGCCTCAGCTGCCTTCAGCCCTTGTTTCTTCAAATAGATACTAGAATCATCTTACTAAATTCCAGTAGAAGTCTTTGCGGGCTTGTTTAGAACTGCATTGACCCATAGACCTATGTGGGGGAATGAGTATCTCTTCGACATTGTACCTCCCTAGCTACAATCACAATGTGTTTCTGTGATTAGCTGTCATTTCATAACATATTTTAATGAAATTTTATAATATTCCTCTCAAACATCTCGCACATTATTCCTAGGTTTAAGTTTTGATTTTTCACTGTAAATTTCACCCTTTTACCTTTAACCTTTTAAAAAGTTCAATTTTAAAGTTCAATTTTCAGGACAGCTGTGGTGATGTACGCCTTTAATCCCAGCATTTGGGAGGCAGAAGCAGGTGGATCTCTGAGTTCTAGGCTAGCCTGGTATAAAAAGGGAGTTCTAGGACAGCCAGGGATGTACAGTGACACCCTGCCTCAAAAAAAAAAAACACAACAACAACAAAAAAGTTCAGTTTTCTCTTTAACTACTGCAGAAGCCACGGTATGGTAATTTTGCTGACTCTCGTGTATTAACATTGTATCTAGCAACTTTTCCCACTCACTAATTTACACTACCCCTCCCTCGCTCCACCTCAGCCTCCTAGCGTACACCACCACACCAGCTTTCTTTTGTTAATTTTGCTAATTATCCTGGGATTCTGCCTAGTATTCTAGAGAGATAGCCATATCTGCTGTACTAGTGTGTTTTCTTTCTCGCATTCCAAAGCCTTTGCCATGTGTTTTGTTCATTTCCCTGCCTACTGATTACAGCAAACTCTCCAAGACGTGCTGAATATTAGCAGCAACAGAGGTGTTGTTGTCTTGTTCTTGGTCTAAAAGAGGATGTTTTCAGTGTTTCGGCATTAAGCACACTATTCCTTGTGGAATTTGTTGGTTTGTTTTTGCTTTTGAGATAGAGTCTCATGTAGCCCAGGCTGGCCTCAAACTTAATTACTATGTAGCTGAGGATGACTTTGAACTGGTGATCCTCCGATTGATGACTCAACTTCCCCAGTGTGAAGATCCTAGATGTGCACCACCGAGTTTAGCTTAATGTGGATTTTATCAGACCAAGGAAACTTCCTTCTGTTCCGACTTTGCTAAGGATTTCCATGTACATGGACAAGAATTTTGTCAAACATTTAATTAAAGATCTCTTGTTTTACTCAGCTAAATTATTATCAACGATTCATCCTCTTAAATTCTTATGTTCCTAGGACTATTCTAGCTTGGCCATGATCTATTACAGGCATTTGGGTACACTTGCAAGATTAGATGAACGTTTTCTTTTCCACATGTAAATTACTCTATAAAGTGAGAATTGCACACTTCTTACACTCTGGGATCCCCTGAGGCCCCAGACACTGTTCCTGGCCATAATAAGCTAATGTGAGTTTTAAGGCTCTGACAGTGTCATAAACTGAGCCAGGAGGTTCCCTCTTTCCCTGCTCTGAGGAGGAGGTTCCCTCTTTCCCTACTCTGAGGATTGTGTCAAAAAGGCTCAGTAGCAGCCACCAGTAAAGCCATCTTGGAGACAAGCTTTATTTTAATTTCAGTTTTTAATTAAACATTTTTGGTGGCTCCAGGACCTTGCGTGTGTCCCCAGTAGGCTGAGGACTTGGAGCTCTTTATCCGTTTGACAATCTTCCCTTTCCAGTCCTGAGGGACCTGAAAATGACAGGAGATATCATCAGAATTCTTATTTAACTCAGAACTCAGTGCCTCTGTGGCCCTAAAGAAGCTATAGTCAGGGAGGGTGCTGGCTAGCTCTCTCCTCCCTCTATCCCTCCCAGGGGTCCCCAGGAGAATTGAGCCAGATGCTGAAAATCTGTAGTTTCCCAGAGTTACTGGAGTGGACCCAGACTGCTCAGGGTTCCGCAGCCAGCTAGGGGCCCACCTTCCTCATCTGGTGCACTGTCCTCACCCCTAAGCTAGAGGGGTGCATAGTTTTCCAGGGATCTCTCGAGGGCCTGACTGAGTGAACCATCTCTGCTTTCCTCCCTCCTTCCTCCTTTGCTTAGACCACCCAACCCCTCCGTGAGGTTACAGACGCCAGTCATTTGCCTGTACTGTAAGGCTCCGCATGCATGTGCTTTGACTCTAAGGCTTGTCATTGAGTTTGGGGACCCAGAAAGGACTCTGGGGAAAGAGCTGCACCAGCTGCCATCAGAGATGAGGAATGGGAACGGCGGCAGCATGTTTTAGACATCACAGTCTCTAAAAGGTTTGTATGGCATCGTCAAGTGTGGAAGGGGTCAGAAGGCTCCTGAGAGCCCCGCTTCTACCGGGTGTGTTTGCCACTAAGAGCAACTCTTCCTGCTCCTTCAGCTCCTGGCTGGGAGGAAAGCCTGCTCCCCCGAGGCCAGAGCCTGGCTCAGACAGAAGACAGACTTCTCTTAATTCATCTATTTGAGCAGCACATATTTCCCAGACATACCGGAAGGAGAGAAACCCTATCCAAAGACCCGCTGTCATATTTCTTTTGAGCTGCTCCCCGTTTTGCTCAGGGCGTGAGTGGGGAGGGAGTGGACAGATATTCCTGGCATGATGGCCTCCTTGGCCCCCACCAGATGGCATGGAAGATCTTAGGAGCTTAGAATGGCCCCAAATCCACTCCACTCCCTCCTCCTGCATGCTCTCGCCATTCCCAGCTGTCACCCAGACCAATAATAACCTGAGGAGACCAGACAAACAAAGCCTAGGCTTAACCAAAGACATCCTCCTGGTCCTCACACCCCATCCTCCCCTCCATAAGACATCCTCCTGGTCCTCACACCCCATCCTCCCCTCCATTTCTTGGCAACCAAACTCCATGGTGGGGCACTGAGGTTCTGCCTAGGAAGGAGAAGCATCTAGAGACACAGGGCTGAAGGACCCAATGTCCATCCCTCTTGCCCGCATCACTTGGTCTTCACTGTCCTCAGAGTCAGAGCATCCAGGCTGGGGATGGGGGGCTAGCCCACCCTAACGAGTCCAGACCCAGCAGTTAGTGATGCTGCGGGTGGGGAGGCTAGCCCACCCTAATGAGTCCAGACCCGGCAGTTAGTGATCCTGTCTCCCCAAACCTCCTCCTTGTTATCTTAGCACTTAATCCTCACAGTCTGAGGTGGTGTTCGATTGAGACCCTCACACCGGCAATAGTTTTTGTGGACACCCTTACCTCGGTATCCATAGGGGTGTAAGCTCCACCCTGCTCATGTCATGACTGTCAGTGCACCACATGTGGCTGAGTTACACCAATGCTTAAGTCCTGGGCTGCCTTCCACACACAGTCCAGGCTTCGCTCACCCCACGTGCCACCCTGAAGAACAGACCTTGAGAAGGAGCAGCACTTGGGTCAGGGACCCTAAAGAGCAGAGACTGAGAGACCCATACTCTGCTGAGCAGAGACTGAGAGACCCACACTCTGCTGAGCAGAGACTGAGAGACCCACACTCTGCTGAGCAGAGACTGAGAGACCCGCAATCTGCTGAGGTTCCACTGTGTCCCCTGCTTGGTGCAGAGGGAACCTGACTTTGCCTTTTCTCCCTGTGCTCCCTGTGACCCAGAGCAAGTCACTCCTCACGGGAGTTAAGTCGGCTGGTCACCACAGCCAGTCACTACCATCGCTGGGTGCCCACTCTCAAGGAAGAAGAATAAAAGTGGGAAAGCCCCCCCTCTCCACTTGCTGCATCCCTCTTTCCCAGCCAGAAGCCCCTTTAAATGAGAGCCAAGCGAGATGGAGGAGGCTGGGTCCACAGCTCCTCCCCTGGCGTCCGCACACATTGGTACACACAGAGGAGCCCTGTCCTTTCTTGGGCAAGCATGGGCCCCACAACAATGGGCGAACAGGTGTCTAATGTCGCCCTTTGCCTCAGGGCCTGCTTTACCAATTACTCAGGGCCTCCGTTTCCACCAGTGACCTCAGCTGTACCGTCCCGCCTGTCCACCCTGTGTCACTTCTGCAGCGGCTGCCACCGAGCCAGCCAAAGGTAGCCAGCAGCGGAACATGACATCCAGACTGTATCCTGAGCATCTCTGGGGTGACTCAGGAGCTACTGGCCTTTGGAGAGCATCCTGAGTGCCCCTCCTCAGCCTGCTGAGCAAGAGAAGTCTCCAACACAGCAGGCCCCAGATGCCTGGAGACAAAATCTTCCTAATCCTTTAATCCAGTGGTGGGAGCCATTTTCTATTAAGGGACTGTGACTTCAGTGGAGAGGATAACCATCCCGGGCCATACCTTTGTATAAAATCCCTTACCTTTCCATACAGATACTGCTCTTTTAATTAAGAGAAATGTGTAAACCATGGAAACACTTGATTTTTTTTTTTTAAAAAAAAGTACAAAATAAACATGAGTGATGCTGTATCTAAAACATCTTCCAGATTTGGGGCAGTTGAGAAGATGTAACTTGAAAGAATGGGAAGGGGGAAAGTGAGAAATTGTGGCAGAAAAAGAAAAGAGAAGGGTGGGGGGGGAGAAGGGGAGGGAGGGAGCGGGGATATTTGAGAGCAAGCGAGAACAGAGCACTGGAGGACTGGCTGCTCAGGACTCCACACTCTACCTGTGGGCCTTGACCCCTTGGGGGGGTTTAACTGCCCTTTCACAGGGGTCGCATATCAGATATTTACATTACAATTCATAACAGCAGCAAAATCACAGTTATGAAGTAGCGATGAAAACATTTGTATGGCTGGAGGTGGGGGATCACCACAACATGAGGAACTGTGTTAAAGGTCACAGCATTAGCAAGGTTGAGAACCACTGCTCTGGAGGATCCTGTCACCCCAGCCTCTCCCACAGTGTCTGGTTTTCCGACTGTTACCTGACACCAATCAGAAAGCCAGAGTATGATGTGTTAGTTCTTACACCCCTTTAATCCTCACAAGAACGCTCAAGGCCAAGGGGTTTTGTTATTTTTGTTTGGTTTTGATTTGGCCTAGGGTTTGAGGTTTTGGAGACAGGGTTTTCCTGTGTAGCCTGTGACTACTGACATTGGACACTGGGCCTGGGCTACCACACCTCCAAGATTAAGTATACACATGTGTAAATTAAGACCCAGAAAATTGGTTCAAGATCACACACAATTACCAGTGGGGTGGGTGCTGGAGAGATGACTCAGCCCTTTACAGCCCTCACTGTTCTTCCAGAGGGTCGGGACTCCCATGCTCACATTAGGTGGCTTACTATTGTTTGCAACTCTCGCTCCAGAGGCTCTGACGCCTTCTTCTGGCCTCTTCAGGGATCTGCACTTGTGTGCATATACACACAGAGAGTCATTTTAAAAAAATCAAGTCATCATCCAAGGCAGAGCTGCTAGTATCTGAACCACTTCCTGTTGGCCCCCTTTCTGTGAGCAGTTCACACACACACACACACACACACACACACACACACACACACACACACACTGCAGCCACTCTTCCTTCCCCTCTTCTGGAACCTATGTCTTCTCCCCCACCTCACAGGTTTGTCTTGTCCATCCCTCCCTCTGGACTCTCCCTTCACAGGCCTTCTCTGGCCCAGCAGTTCATCCTGCAGGTCACTTACTAGAGAGGTGTCCCAGTGCTGACTCCTCAGTCGGGTTTATTTCCAGCCTGGGCCTCTTTGCTCTGCGGTGATTTTCCTCTTGTTGCTGACCTCTGTTTCGCCTGAAGAAAGTTTCTGTGTAGGCAGAACTCCATCAGCCTCGTGAATTACTAGAAACCCAGTGTCTCCCTTCACTTCTAGCGCATGGTAGGTGTTTAAAGTGCGTCTGTTGAAGGCTGGGATCAAAACGCTTACTTGGTAGGCAGGGGCTGGCGGACCACAAGTTCCAGGTCAGCCTGTGTTTTATAGTGAGACCCTCTCTTTTTTTTAAAAAAAAAAAAAAAAAAAAAGGATTGGACTAGAGAAATAGCTCAATGGTTAAGAGCACTGAATGCTTCTCCAGAGGACAGGGGTTCAGTTCCCAGCATCCACATGGCAACTCACAACTGTCTGTAACTCTAGTTCCAAGGGTTTCATGGCACCAGGCATGTACATGGTACACATACACAGGTATGCAGGCAAAATACTCATACACATACACATAAAATAAAACAAAACAAAATTATATAAAGCACTTGTTGAATAAACGAATGTACTTCTCTATAGACTGGTGTGAACCCTGTTCTTAGCTATCAAAAGGGCATTTTCACAGAAAAACAAAAATCACGCATTTCCCACAGAAGTTCTAGTCAGAAATCATCCTTTGCACAGAAAAGGCCTTGGCTGAGGCTCTAGGTAAATGAGATGTGACCGGGACTCAAGACTCGATTTCCTGGTGTTTATAGAACACACACCCACAGAGGATTGCAGTGCCTGATGAAATGAGCCATTAACAATGAGAAAGGAGCAAACCAAATGTGTTCAAAGGAAGGAGAGCAAGGCTGTCTGGCTGGGTGGTCAGTGGGGTTTCGTGGGATATCAGCGTTGAGCTAGGGTCCTGAATGAGGTTCCATTCACAGTAGTTGCAGCCAATAACCATGACCTCCAGGCTGAGTCAGGCCCCCCAGGGTGTGTTCAGATTGGAGGAATAGGAGAAAGGGAATACAGACAGGAAGACCTTGTGCTGAGTGCCGCAGAGGAGAGCCAGCTGGAGCCCTGAGCTGACTGCTGCCGCGGTGGGCTAGAGCAGCTCAGAAGGGAGGGTGGCGGGCAGGGTGGGGTTAGCCTGCTCTCCCCCTCCTTCTCTTCAAGTAGTGTGAAATATAAGAGGGTCAACAAGTATGATTTCTCAACACCAGGAAGTGAAGCAACTGTTTTTGAGACAACATCCCGCCTTGATGAGGGCAAGGTTCCAAGCTGTGTCTACGTGCCTGCCACGGTAATCCTGGTTTTAGAAAACAGTTCTGCTAAGGAGGCGAGCCTGTCCGGGAAGGGGTGGGACAAGGATCTCGGGATGGAGATGGAAATGAAGACAGGCAGGGCCCCAGAACTGCTGGGGAGGGGGCAGGGTGGAGAAGGCTGCTGTGGAGCACCAGGCTTCTTGGGAGAACTGGAGGCTGACTACCTACAGGGAGGCGCTCAGCATAGGAGTTCCTGGGGACTCTGGGGATCTCCAGGGAAGAGTCCGCACCCTTGATTCCCACCTTTCCCAGACCCACAGTCCCTCCCACACATTAGGTCAGCCACCTAGCTCGGAGCTAGTTCCTTTTCCTGAAGCCACGCCTATAAACTCTTGACCTCATTGTGTTGTAGCTGTGAGTTTGTACAACTGCCACCTGTATAGGCTGCAAGCCCCAAGCGGGTCCTCCTCCCTCAGTATTCCCCGCTCCGGCCCCACCCTCCCTCACTTCCAACAGGGAAAGTGCTGTGACTGTGTCCCCACCTCCACCTGGTCTCTAAGACCTCAGGCTTGGTCTGGGTGCTGTCCTCTCCTTAGGAGCCTCTGTTCCTTGGATGGCTTTGAAAAGTATCTTTATGCCCATGACCCCATGTGTGCCTACCTCCTACTTAGAGTCTCCCTCGTAAACTCAGATGTGCCACTACTCTGGCCTGCTTGCTCTGTCTACGTGGAGGAAGCAGCAAAAGCATTTATTTGCCTTTGGTGTGCCTGAGATGGACCTGACTCTAAGGCTGTTTCTGGTGCCCTGCTCTAGAAACAGAACATTACCTGTCCGTCTTGCTGAAGGCGGGACCCTAGGGTGCTCCTGGCTCCTCTGTAGGTGTCCTTTACATACAGATCATTACCAACCTGGTTGGTTCTCCCTTCAGTGAATGTCTGGAGTCTATGCGCTTCTTTCTCCCGCCATCCTCTCAGCACAGGGGCTGTGGTCTGAATGAGAACGGCTCCCCTGCGCTCAGATATTTGAATGCTTGGTCACCAAGGAGCGGCACTGTTTGAAAGGATTGGAAGGACTAGAAGGTGCGGCCTTGTTGAAGCAGGAATGACCTTGTTGGAGGAAGCGTGTCACTGCAGGTGAGCTTTGAGATTTCAAAAGCCCAGGCCCCCCATTCTCTCTGTCTCTGTCTCTGTCTCTGTCTGTCTGTCTGTCTGTCTCTCTCTCTCCCTCTACCTACCACCATGATGATAATGGACTAAGCCTCTGAAACTGGAAGCAAGCCCCAATTAAATACTTTCTTTTTTATAAGAGTTGCCTTGGTCATGCGTCTCTTCCCAGCAATAGAACAGTGACTAAGACATCAGGCTGCCATGCCTCCTGTCTGGACCTTGCTGATTGCTATTTGTAGCACGTGCCTGCCCTCCCATCTACTAGGGAGGCTGAGAGGACCACTCGAGCCCAAGAGCTCAAGGCCAGTCTAGACAATGTAGCGTGAACTCAGCTGGAAGACTTCAAGTTAGTATTTCATACTCTGAATATTCTGACCGTTTCCACTCCTGCCGCTCTGTCTGTCTTCCACAGGACAGCAGGAGTGACTTTGCAGTGTGGATCCTACCCTGAACCCCACTTACACATTCAGAGATGCCCAATTACAAGATGGACAAGACCCCTCCCTGGTTAGGAGGGTGCCATGAACCAGACCCTGCTTCTCCCCGCCTTGCCCCTAGTCTCTCTGGGCTTCACCTACTCTGGCCACAGTGAGCTCTTCACTTGTGTGTTCTTCTCACTCAGGCCTAGCCTGTGGTGCTCTCTACCTGGACGACTTTCTCCCTTCTAGGCTAATCCCTAAACCTCTCAGATTTCACCTTGAGCCTGCCTTCTGGAGTAATCCTTCTTAACTACACAGATCCTCCATCAGACTCATCCCCTGAACCAGCTTAGCCAAACCCTGGACACCTCAGAGAGGCTCAGCAAGTCTATCCTGATGTGATGCACAGCCGCTGACCCCAGGGGACTCCTGAAAGCCCCCCTTTCTCATCCTACGCCAGCAGGGATGTGCCCATCTCTTCCCTTATCTGTGGATTTTCTCAAAATTGCCCTGGCCAACACTGTATTCCTCTCTCCTCCAAAACTAGTTCAAAAGCAGACAAGCTGCTCACCCACTTCCTAGCCGATTCTCTCAGTTTCTAGATTTAAATTCAGGGCACTGCAGGGGAAGAGCAGAGAGAATGGAAAATACCCAATGGGAGAAGTGCTGGAGCCCCGAGGTTGATGGGCTCCTCTATAGTTAGTCTGTGACTTCCCTTCCTGGCAAGAGCTGCCCGGTTATCTAGGGCAGTCCCAGTCTCAGCTCTTCCCTGCTATTGTCTGGTGTCTCCTGGACTTCCGCCGTTCTCACTCCGTCTTTCTTCTCTCGCTCACCGCTTTTCCTCTCCAGGAAGCACTGCAGGATCCCAGATCTGTGTGGAAAGAGCGACTCCAGCTTGAGCCTTATTCTCTCACATAAAATCTGCACGACTTTGGGGAGGCGACTTATCTTTTCCAGGCTTCAGTTTGCTTGCCTGTAAGACAGAGACAATGGCAATAGGATTTGGTGGGAGGGGTCTATCTGGAAAAATGTCCCGGTGCCCATAAAAAAGTCACTTCTCTCTCCCTTCAGGGTGGATAAATGGTGTAAAGTTATTTTTCAGAAACTGGAGCGCACACACGTATACATTCACACACACACACACACACACACACACACACACACACACCATCCTGGGGCTGCAATGAGGTGAAGTTTAAACAAGCAGAATTCAGTTGATAAGAATGTCAGGCGATTGCTCTGTTGTCTATCTTGTCCTGTGACCTGGGAGGAGAGCCATGTCATATCTATGGCTCCAGCTCCATGAGGAGGTACCCAGGTTCTGAAGACTGCCCTTAGGGAGATGGGAGAGCATCCCTTATCTCTTGGGTTCCAACTCAGGATCAGGGTGTGTCTCCTCCTGTCAAGGAGTCCCTGGAAAGATGGCTCTTGGTGTGAAAACAGCTCAGAGCACTGGCCCACTCCCCTCGCCACTTCAGATTGCCCTGACTGAGACTCATTACTGAAGGATGAAGGACCCCCAGCTCCCCACAAGACCTCCTTAGTAACTACCTCTTAAGGGACAGATTAGAGTCACATAGACCATCTGTCTTTGTTGGAAGTCTTAGTTCCCTGACAACTGGGCAGTCCTGCCAAGTTCATTCATAAAGGGAGTTAGCACTTTTCCCAGATCATGGAAGCACTGCCCCCTCAAGGGAGTGCTGCTCCTCGGGATGAGTCGCTCTCAGCCTTGTCCTTAGTCCCTGTGCTATCTCCATCTCCATCTTCACCTCATTCACCAGATGGATCCTAGAGTCTAGGTTCAAGGGCCACCAGCAGCAGGCTCTGCCATCAACAGCTAAGGGACACGGAGCAGTCACCTGCTCTCTGTGAATGTTACAAACAACCTGCGTTAGTTTCTTCTGACTGTTGCAGCAAACTGTCACCAATTTTGAAGGTTTAAAACAACACAAAAAAATCCTAAGCTCTGGGGATCAGAAGTCCAAACTAGGTTATATGAGGTCACGTCAAGGTATCAGCAGGACTGAATTCTCTCTGGAAGCTTAGAAGTAGGAGCCATTTTGTGCCCATCCCCCTTCTAGAAGCTGCTGCATTTTGTTTGTGGCTCTTTCCTTTCATCCCTCCAATCTCTGCTTCCATTGTCACTTTCGCTTTTCTGGGTCTGGCCCTCATAATTCCCATTACCAACCCATCTAAAATAATCTCCCCACTTACTTTTCTACTGCTGTGACAAAGCACCAAGACCAAGACAACTTACAGAAGAGTTTATTGGGGGATTACTGCTTCAGGGGGTGAGTCCATGACCATCGCAGTAGAGAGCAGGGCAGCAGACAGACAGGGAGGAGCAGTTGCTGAGAGCCTGCATCCTTATCTGCAAGTAGGAAGCAGAGAGGAAGAGAGAGACAGAGAGGTGCACAGGCTTCTGAAACCTCAGAGCCTGCTCCAAGTGACACGCCTCCTAATCCTTCCCAAGGGGTTCTACCAACTGGAGACCAAGTATGCAAATATATGAGCTTATGGGGGTCATTGTCACTCAGACTACCTAAGAAGCTCAACCTTTCCAAGGTTCTCTTCTAGGAAGGATTTGCAGGTGCTAGGTGTTGGGATGCAGTCTTCTTAGGACTGCTATCATTCTCTCTACCCACATCTTTTTAAATAAAGTTCCTCCCCAAAGCCATGCCCTCTGCAAGCTCTAGAGAGCATTTTCTTATCTCATCTTAGGTCAGTGGGCCTGATCTTAAAGATCCCAAGGATAGAGGGTCCCTAGAAGCCATTTGTGCCTGACTTTATGTTGAAGGTCCTTGAAGAGAGTTCTTGCTGATGTCTGACTTGCTTCTTGATTATAGGGAAAGAACTCCATGTATCTCTTTCTGTGTGGACCTCCCATTCAATACTTAGTAGAGGAGCCACAGAACCTTCTGAACTGTAGACGGTGAGAACAGCATGGAAAAGCAGGGGTTAAGGCGGAAGAAGAAAGAGGGGAAACTCCTGGAGGCATCTCCTGTGTGTGAACTCTTCCTGGGGGTAGTAGCTCTTATCTTTGCATTAATCCTGGGGCAAGTGAAGCTCAAAGAGGCCTAAATGAGGTCCCTAAGTCATCAGGTGGCCGAGCTGAATGGGCGTGTAGGGTTTTCCCCCTTTCTATCAAAGCACAGCAAGCTGGGGTCACTGACTGTATATAGCCAGCATTTCTCTCCTGGCTGAACTATCTTGCCAGTCCACCCTTGTTTCTTGAGACAGAATCTCTGATTGGCCTTAGTCTCATCGTTCCTGCTCGACTGAACACTAGGGACCCCTGTCTCCACCTCCCCAGTGCTGGGCTATAGGCCAGGCCCACTCTATCCAGTCTTTTCCCATGGGTTCTAGAGACTAAACTCCAGTCCTCATGTCTGTGTAGCAAGCCTTTTGCAGACTGAGCCAGCTCCTCAGCCTCACGCATATTTTTAAGTTTTTTTTAAATAGTGATTCATGGTCTTTAAACACTTATAGTTTTATATCTTGTTTTATCTTCTGACAGTTCAGATTTTTCCCCTGTCCTTATTCATTTTCCTTATCCAAAATAACTAAACCATAAGATGTCTTTAGCCAAAAACAAAACCAACAAAAAGCTACATATAGATATTTTTAGTGCCATTTTATTTTGGTGTCCTGGGACTGGAACCCAGGCCAGGCTAGGGTATCAATACTCTGCTGATGGGCTATACTCCAAGCCCCTTTTCAGATCACCATGGGTAGCATAAAGGTATTGTTTTTTTACCTTACAAAAGAGGAAATATTAAAAATGCTTATTCTGGGTCTGGAGAAATGGCTCTGAGGTTAAGTGTATTTGACACTCTTGCAGAGGACCCAGGTTCTGTTCCTAGTACCCATGTGGTGACTCACAACCAGTTCCAGGGAATCCAGCGCCCTCGTCTGGTCTACATGGTCACTAGGCACGTACATAGTACACATAATACATTCAGGGAAAAGGTATATGTGTAAAATAAGAGATCAATAAAAATCTTTAAAAAATAGTTATGTTTGGTATTTGTCAGATGATTGGTTACAGCAGCATAATTATGAGATCAATCTTAGTTATTCCTACTTGTCAAGAAGAAGCATTGGTTTTATTAAGTTTTCATAAATACGATGTATTAATTTAAATAATTCAACGATTCTACTGTAAATAGCCATACATTTTTCTTTGAAATGAAACATTCTGACATTCAAATATAAAGACTGACAGAATTCAATTAGTTTAAAATATGGGAGCTGGAGAGATTGCTCAGGGGCTAAAGCTTGCTGATGACCTGCGCTTGATCCCCAGAGCCTTCGCGGAAGAAGAAAGTGAGAACTACCTTTACAAGCTGTCCTCTGTCCCCTGACATGCGCTCTGTGGTATACCTCATGCCCCCATGCACCAAATAAATATCTTTAACTGTTATTTTTAAAAATCTGTCTCAAGGTTTAAGAAACACTGACAGCCGGTTCTGACTTTGTGGCCGGGATGGTTGCTGCTGCCGTCACTCCAACGTGCACAGGCTGCATAGTAAATCCCACTGAAGATCTCTCTCCTCTACTCATGATGCTTAAGCAGATCAGTCTAGCCCTGCCAGACACAGATGCTAGCCCTTATTTGTTACATCTCTAGAGGTCCCAGCCACAAACTAAGGGCAGGAAGAAACAACCAAAGAGCATCAGTAAAGACCTGACCTTGGCTGGGCATGGTAATGAGCATTTGTTTGTAACCCCCGTCACTGAGGAGACTGAGGCAGGAGAGTGGTGAGTTTGAGTTGGAGCAGAGCTACATAAAGTAACTCTTTGTCAACAAAACAAAACAGGAAAACCAAATCAAACCTGGAGTCTTGACTGTTGACCCTGCAGGACCAGACACGTGCCTATGAAGACAGGCTTTTCCCCAAACTCTGGCTCTGGACCCGCCAGATTGAGACGTGACCAATTAGAACCTCTAGAGTCACGCTGGTCTAGATTCTGGAGCAGAGGTCAGCAGGCCACGGTTCTCAGGACAGCCCTGTCATGAGTAGCTATCAACCAAGCTTGACTGGAACTCATCCATGTTTCTGGGTGGTGCTATTACCTACAGCCACTTTCTTGCTACAAGGATGGAATTGAGCAGAAAACAGATTAAAAAGCACCCAACGTTGGAGGGGCTGCACAGCTGGCCCAAAGTCAGAGGAGAAAAGGAACTGCCCAGGACTAAACGGATGAATGAACTGACTTTATTATGATCAGTATTTGTGTCTGGGATAGGGTTTCACTCTGCAGGCCAGGTTGGCCTGGAACTCCCAGAGCTCTGCCTGCCTCTGTCTCCCAAGCGCTGGGATTAAAAGTGTGTGCCACCATGCCCAGATTAATATTTTATTTTAGTTGATACAAGTGGATTCCTTCCTGTTTAATCCACTTTTACCTTCATTTATCAGGTTATGCCTACAAAAATCGAGAGGCAGTATTCTTCTTTTAAAATAATATATTTTACTTAATGCAATCTATTCACAAGACTGACATGTCTATATAAAAATTATTAATATTTTACCTTTTTGTTCTGTCTTCAACAGTATTTACTTTTTTATACTAGCAACACACTGAAGCAATCTTTACATTTTGTCCCAAATGAACTTTAAATTTTCAAAAGGAAACAATAATTCCACGAAAGATCTTAACATACACGTTTTTTAGCCAGATGGTCCTTGAACTCTCCATGAACCTCAGACCTTCCCTGCACTCAGGATGCTCCTGCCTCAGCTTTTGAAGTGTTATTAATATAGAGTCTAAGATAATATGTCATCAAGACAATTGAAAAAGAACAGTTCTGTAAATTAAACGGCATTAACTGATTGGTTCTGTCTGTAAAGCAATAACAATGACCAAAAAGTAAGCCTTTGGGGGTTCGCTTACTTTTTATGGTCAAAATTCTTATAAATCCAAGGGGGGAAATATAACCAAATTAATCATTATGGATGTCTAAATGGAATT